TCCTGGAATACTCTCTCTCTCTCTCTCTCTCTCTCTCTCTCTCTCTCTCTCTCTCTCTCTCTCTCTCTCTCTCTCTCTCTCTCTCTCTCTCTCTCTCTCTCTCTCTCTCTCTCTCTCTCTCTCTCTCTGGGATGAGTAGCGTTCACTGGGTTGAACTCATATTAGAAAACAGAACCGTTGGATACTCAAGGATTAGCAATCTGATATTCTTCTAACAAACATATACTTCCTTTAGAAATATCATTCCCTCTAACAATCCGATATTTCCTCCATTTCTAAAATCCTTTCTTTTCACAACCTGATAATTCATCCCTTTTCAAAAATCATTTTCGTCTAACCACCTATCAGACCTATAGAAATATTATCGTCTATTTATAAAATGATACAAATTCATCTTTTTTTATATAAACCACTAGAAACATTTGTTTTAAAGGTCTTGTCATTTATTATCACTGCACTTTTTTGCAAGATATTGTTATTTGACCTCCTGCAGGTCTATCCATCCGTCCAACTGTTTGTAAGTATGTCTTATAAACTGAATGGTGGTAGCTAAGTATATTTGCGGTTTATTTGGCCAATATGGTAGCTATGTCTCCTGGGTGGGGGTATGAATATGCGACCTCTCAGATGTATGCCTGAGAGGTAAGAGGAGTCAGATGTCTAATGTTCAAAAATTAAAATGTAAATAATATTCTTTTTAAAATATCTTTTGCACAAATTTAGTAAGTGTAGTCACAGCGGAAGTGAAGTTCATTATGCGACGAATTGTGGGTTATGACTTTCGGGTCACGGTCCGACAAGAAGATTGGATCTCCTCCCGAGAGTAATAACAAAATTCGTGATGATTCGCAGTAGGGAGTTAGGTAAGTACTTCCAAATGTATCAGTGTACCCCTAGCTTTATTACACAATTTTTATGATCTCTAATCGTTTAAAGAAGACGTCAAAAAGCATTCGTCCTTTACATAATAAAATGTCGATTTTACGAGGCATTCAACTCATACAGAATATTTAAACCTTCACCGAGTCAACAACTGAAACAATTAAAGCGCACACACACGTACGTATACACACACAAACACCATCTATATAGAGATTTGGGGTGATTACAAGGCTGCTTTCTTTCACCGTGGACTTTAGCCACAAAATCTGCTGAATGAATCAAAGTCTAAGTATGAAATATACACCTTGCTGTAGTTGAATCCAAATTAAGAATAAGATATTGACCCTGCTGCATATATATCCAAGTCTAAGTAAGAAAAAAGAACACATTGCCGCAGATGTATCAAAGTCAAAGTATGAAATATACACCCTGCTGTAGTTGAATCCAAATCAAGAATAAAATATTCACCCTTCTGTAGACGTATCCAAATCTAAGCATGACATATACACCCTGCTGTAGACGTATCTAAATCTAAGCAATAACTATACACCCTGCTGTAGACGTATCCAAATATAAGCATGAAATATGCACCCTGTTGTAAACGTATCCAAATATAAGCATGAAATATACACCCTGCTGTAGACGTATCCAAATCTAAGCATGAAATATACACATTGCCGCAGATGTATCAAAGTCAAAGTATGAAATATACACCCTGCTGTAGTTGAATCCAAATCAAGAATAAAATATTCACACTTCTGTAGACGTATCCAAATCTAAGCATGAAATATATACCCTAGACGTATCCAAATCTAAGCATGAAATATACACCCTGCTGTAGACGTATCTAAATCTAAGCATTAAATATACACCCTGCTGTAGACGTATCCAAATTTAAGCATGAAAATATACAACCTGCTGTACACGTATCTAAATCTAAGCATTAAATATACACCCTGCTGTAAACGTATCCAAATATAAGCATGAAATATACCCCCTGCTGTAGACGTATCCAAATCTAAGCATGAAATATATACCCTGTTGTAGACGAATCGAAGTCTAAGCATGAAATAAAAACCATGCTGTAGTTGAATTCAAATCAAGAATAAAATATTCACCCTTCTGAAGACGTATCCAAATCTAAGCTTGAAATATATACCCTGTTGTAGACGTATCTAAATCTAAGCAATAAATATACACCCTGCTGTAGACTTATCCAAAACGTATCTAAATATAAGCATTAAATATACACCCTTCTGTAGACGTATCCAAATTTAGGCATGAAATATACAACCTGCTGTAGACGTATCTAAATCTAAGCATTAAATATACACCCTGCTGTAAACGTATCCAAATATAAGCATGAAATATACACCCTGCTGTAGACGTATCCAAATCTAAGCATGAAATATACACCCTGTTGCAGACGAATCTAAGTCTAAACATGAAATATAAACCCTGCTGTAGACGTATCCAAATATAAGCATGAAAAATACGCCCTGTTGTAGTCGTATCCAAATCTCAGCATGAAATATACACCCTGTTGTAGAAGAATCTAAGTCTAAGCATGAAATATACACCATGTTGTAGACGAATCTAAGTCTAAGCATGAAATATACACCCTGCTGTAGACGTATCAAAATCTAAGCATGAAATATACACCCTGTTGTAAACATATCCAAATATAAACCTTTCTGTAGACGTATCCAAATCTAAACAATAAACATACTCCCTTTTATAGACGAATCTAAGTCTAAGCATGAATTATACACCCTGTTGTAGGGAAATTTGAGTCTAAGTATGAAATATGCACCCTGCTATAAGGAAAATCTAATTCTAACCATGAAATATACACCCTGCTGTAGACATATCTAAATCTAAGCATGAAATATACACCCTGCAGTCGACGTATCTAAGTCTAAGTATGAAATATACACACCGCTCTAACTCTTTCCCAGTATGTACTTTACACAATGCTGAAGATGTATCCCATGAAATATATACAAAGCTATAGATTGTATCATTCTCAGCCAATTCACAACAGTGGCTATTTAAGAGTGCTATATTGGAACTTTTGTATTCCTTTGACTAACATCTCTACAGGCAGATTTTTTCAGCATCTAAATATCTTTTGGGGTATTTCTCGTTTCCTTGATAGTCACTTAATGTACCTTCATACAGATTGTGTTCCTCTTGATCTCTTATATTTACCATTTTCTGACACGTCATGGCAGCAACAGCATGAGCTTCGGCCAAGAAGTAAAACGTTTTTTTTTTTTGTTTTTTGTTGTTGTTTTTTTTCCATTTAACAATTATTTGAGTAGTCTGCATAAATCAGACAGGTGATTATCCTATTTTTTAACTGTTTTCAGCGGACAGAAGTAAGTTTAGTTTCAAGACTCGGTGTATTTTTAGTACCGTCTGTATTCGCTTATAGATCACATTCAGCTGCAATCAGCAAGACCACGATCTGCCGATGAACGATGGGCCAAAATAATAAGATCTTTGCTGTGTGATCTACTTAGTACTACTAAGAAAGTTCATATATCTATATAATCCGTTACGTTATAAGAAGTCAGATTTGAGCCTGTACATTTTGCAGATGGATTCGGCTTATAAGACGGTACATGCGGTACATCAGGCGCATGGCGTGCGCAGTCCCATTCCAATGACTAAATTTTCGGGGGGGGGTCAAGCAAAGAAAATGTCTTCTGAATTGGATGTTGTCCCCACATATTATGCTAATTAGTCTCGTTTTATTATGAAAGAATTGCTTGAACAACTGCATAAATATGGTTATTTTGAAAGCATTGAAGCATTATACGAAATTCAGGCATATTAATGGCATTATAATATCAAATGACGGCGTTTTAGGCCTGTAAATTTAACTGTATAAAAATAAAGCAATACAAAGACATTAAGCAAATATCTGCCTTGTATTGTTTGCCAATCGATTATTCTGGAGACAATGTGTGATGTTTTCGTTTCATACGGAATATCGTAATTATTAAGGCATTTAATATTCTACAGGTCGTTTCCTGAATAGTAGTTTCAAATAAAATTAACATGAACCCGGTCTGAAAATGTTGCACTTCAAAGAATGATAATGCACATTTTATAGCTAAGATTGTGGACTTGTGTTTTTTACATTATAGCTAACAATGTGTGCTCATGCACTTTTACCCTATAGCTAAGAACGTGTGCTCATGCACTTTGACCCTATAGCTAAGAACGTGTGCCCATGCACTTTTACCCTATAGCTAAGAATGTGTGCTCATGCGCTTTTACCCTATAGCTAAGAACGTGTGCTCATGCACTTTGACCCTATAGCTAAGAACATGTGCTCATGCACTTTTACACTATAAAAAAGAATGTGTGCTCATGCACTTTTACCCTATAGCTAAGAACGTGTGCTCATGCACTTTTACCCTATAGCTAAGAACGTGTGCTCCTGCACTTTTACTCTATGGCTAAGAACGTGTGCCCATGCACTTTTACACTATAACTAAGAATGTGTGCTCAAGCACTTTTACCCTATAGCTAAGAACGTGTGCTCATGCACTTTTACCCTATAGCTAAGAACGTGTGCTCATGCACCTTTACTCTATGTTTAAGAACGTGTTCTCATGCACTTTTACACTATAGCTAAGAACGTGTGCTCATGCACTTTAATGAGCAGCGAACAGCACTAACCATGGAGCGAGCGATGGAACTATAATTCCCGCATAGGCGCTGAATGCGATGAAAGGACTTGGCCTTGATATTGCTACCGGCTGGAGTTTAAGAGCCCAACCAATAAGAACAACTTTACTCTTAATTTGATAATAGTGAGAGCGCGCGCGCGCGCGCGCGTGTGTGTGTGTGTGTGTGTGTGTGTGTGTGTGTGATTTAGATGTTTAACGTAGCTTTAACAATTTTTCAGTCATATCGCTACGATGTCTGCAGTGTGACAGTTTATAGTGATATCTACACTGGGGCATCATGCCACAGACATGTAGCATGATATCCCACCCAGTCATATTATCCTGGCACCTGACCGATCAGTCCTAGTAATAGCCTCTTAATGCTGAGCGCCAAGCGAGGCAGCTGTTAGTACCATGTTTTTAAAGTCTTCGGTATGACTCGGCTGGGGTTGAACCCGTGACCTCCCTCATCCGAGGAGGACGCTCTAGCCACTAGGCCACCGAAGCTGTTGATAATGGTGAGAAAGAAGACACTGAAAGTATGGAAACAAAGGCAACAGGGGAGGAGAAAGAAGCGGAAACTGACTCGAGTAGGGAAGCATTCAAAATCATGGATATAGAAGCAACATTAGATGATATCAAAAAAGCAGGTACCTTCAAAAATGCTGTTAAATATCTGTCATCGAGAACACTGGATACCTACAAGCCGAGACCTGCAGAATGGCACTTTGGAGTTAGAATCCTATTCCTGTTATACAAGGAAGACTTCCGTCACCGTCCTATACACAGTCTAGTGACAGCTGCTATTTACTTGTGTAACGTGCATGGGTACAAGTCATTCCCGGAACAGACCAGGAAAGACACACGTATGGCGGAGGTAATTATAGATCAAGAAGACCGCCGTGGCACTTTTGACTAACTCTTTTTAGGGCTGTATTGCCTACTTAGTATTAAGAGATTCCATTTCGGCTATTGATATTAAGGTCTGTCCATTAGTACAACTGAACTGAATTTGAACAATTAAGTACGATCTGGCTTTTCAAGGGCATAGGCGTGCACCACCCCCTGTCCTGGGTCCCTTTCCTCCTCTCCCTCTGTCTGACATTTAAGTAAGGAGTGCGACCATCGTACATTAAAGCAGAATTCTAGTGGCATCATTCCTACAACTCAGACATTATAAAAAGCCCGATACTCTGGTATTAACAAATCGCAAAAGCACTTGTATGCGTAGGCGACTATAATTCTTTTATTCGTTGAATGATTGATTCATACATTTTTCCTTATGGCTAAGCAGATAGTCTCGTGTACTTTTACATTATGGCTAAGAATGTAATGTAGGCGTGCGCACAATGTATGCATTGTTGCGAATGTCTGTGGTCAGGTGTTCCCAGGAATTTGCAATATCCAAGGTCTATACGATCTGCCACAGACTATCAAAATGTCTAAATTCTAAACAATAAAGAAAATGGTGGGCCATTACTTCGTACAGCGAAACTTAATTTCTTTTTTTATTTGTATTTCAAGGCATCAAAGGAATTAGTCATTGAATCACTTCCTAGTAAATGATGGAACTTGACATGCACCGCTTCATAAACAACTTTAGTTCCTCTAGATAGTAACACTTATAGCCACACTTCTTCAACGGGCCGTATGCAAAAAAAAAAACGTATTTGTGTTTTCATGGCGATTTATTTGAAAACAATTTGAATCCGTGAAGAATAAAAACATTACTGATTGAACCTTTCACACAAAATGAGGCTTGATTATTGGTTATCAAAACGGAGTCAGCTTAATCCAGCGACAAAATTCACAATTTCTGCAGTGCCCATAACATAACCCAAATAAGTTTAAGAATAAAAGTTTATGGGCGGTAAATGCCCCTGTGATTTATAACATTAAATTTAAGATCATGATCTTAAGAGCATTGCATGTCTTTAAAGGATTCATTGCCTCCTAAACTAAATTATACATGTTTTATTTTTTTCATTAAATGAAACATTTCCAATCCGTTTTTATCATCGTAATTGTCGGCACCCTCTTCATCATCAGCAGCAGCAACATCATCTCCTTTTTCATCTTCATCTGTTACAAATTTCGGCTAGATGAAAGTAATAAAGAATAGAGAGAAGCCATAAAGCTTTATAGATTTTAACAAAAACAATTTATTTCCTTAGAAAACACAATAAAATATGAAAAAGGATTTAGTTTTTGAATATAATCCAAAAATCAATCCAGGAATCTAAAAGTACAATCACTAAAATGTCATAAATGAATCTAAGTTCGAATCCTGATGAAGTTCAAAGATGGCGGACGATGACGTCCGATGAATGCTGTATTGATGTAACAAAAGTTCCAAGTTGAATTTGTGAATGATATCCCAGATTTAGAATACCAAAGAATTCCCACTAAATGTTTTTTATAAATATGAAGCACTTATGTAATTTTCAAGAGAATTAATTATTAATTCCGAAGAATATAAAAATTCAAAGACAAACACATCTAATAACAACAAAAATACATCTGAACTGCAAAGGTATATATTTACGACTCATTTAGAATGATTAAAAACATTAGTCTTAAACACAATTTTAAATCATGCAATAGGTCACGTGGTCAATTACTACAAGACATTTATCACGTACGCCAAGATAGTCTTATCTAAGAACCAATAATACAAAATACGTTGATAACACATGGCGATCACATCAGAGAGGTATGACTTTGATACTGACCAATAATTTTAACTAAGTGTTTTCCAAAAGTCTGAATTTAGGTCAGTTAAAGTAATGCTAATATAATACCTTTGTGTTATATTCAAACAAAATTACTTTAAAAAATATCGAATCCCGTGAAAATAATCATTATAAAAAATTTAATGAAACAAATATAAAAAAAGAATTTCAAACTAACACAAACAATTTAATTACATATGCGTAACACTTCTTCTTCTTCTTCTTCTTCTTCTTCTTCTTCTTCTTCTTCTTCTTCTTCTTCTTCTTCTTCTTCTTAGCTGAAACTCTTGATTGCTTTCACACTTGAATCAGATTAGACACCTTTGATGACGTCTAGAATTCGACAACCTATTCCGTGCACAAAACATACAATTTCTGCCAGTGCCGGGAATGTGGACCAACTAACTTTAACATGTGTTAATAAGCGTTAAATTTCACGGTTCATGACACTACCTTGACCTCATGGTTTTAACAGCAATTCGTGCCCTTGAACGGGTCCAATACTAAATCCGATGTGTAATAAATTATTTTGATTTAGCCAGCTAAAATGAGTCAACAAATTTAGTCTGTAGGCTCAGCTTTTTAATAATGTAACGCATTTAGCTTTAAATAACTTCGTCAGCGTTAAGTGTCAGTTTATTGGCCGTTTCATGAACATTATGTGCACAAGATTATTGCAGGTCTTTAAAATTTCAAAGCGTCTACTGGATAAAATCAGAGTAAACTTTAACCAATAGACACTCGTGGTTTTAACTGTTGTCGAAAACGTAACCCAACTCAAACATAACTTCATGAGCATTAAATGCCAGTTTATTTCATAATTTTATCATCATAGCCACCACCATCACCATCCATCATCATCACCACCACCATCATCATCATCATTCTTCTTCTTCTTCTTCTTCTTCTTCTTCTTCTTCTTCTTCTTCTTCTTCTTCTTCTTCTTCTTCTTCTTCTTTTTGCATACTCCATTTCTACAAGTTTTGAATTTCTTGTTATGAAGTCCTATCAACTGACAGCTTATTGATTATGTTAGCTCGATTATTCGTTTGTAACACATCATCGCGCCAACGCGATCAGAAATCAACGGATATATGCCAATATTCTGTCTTACGAACACATGTACGTAATTTTATTAATTTATAGTCGTGCTTAAAGGAGTTTTTTATTTTCCACTCAACTTTGTATCTATGTCTACTTAAATCTCCAAAGAGGTTATTGCTCCCCCAACTGTTCTCGCTAAATTACGTAAAAGCTTATAAAAATACGTGATTGAAACAGTGTGCATACTACTGTTTAATTTGTACAGATTTGTTTACATTTCTTAAAGTTTAGAACTTTTTTCTTTGTTGAACACAAAACCTCTTTGTTTCTCACTTAACCGCTAAACCTTATCTCAAGAAAACTTGAATCTATATGGTCTTCTAAGGACCAGTTACTCAGACTGGAACTAACTTAAATCTGTAAAGTCCACATGGTTCTGGTGCAATTATGATTCATTTGCCATTAATGAGGTAATAATCCAATGACTGACGCCTTGTTTTAACCATCAGTTGGCATTCATATAGCGTCCGCCACGTTCAGTTGTAAGACACATCTTCAATTGCGGACACAATAAATACTGAAAGGTACCTTTTACTGAATTATACATGAGCAAGTCCATCCATATCCCCTCACATGTAAATTTCCATGACTATGAGAGGTTGTTTGAAGCGTCTATTCCTATTTTTGGCTAAAATAAAATGCCTCGCAACGATATCAAGATAATTTTTGTCTGACTGTTCACACCTAGTAATAAAGTCGTTTTCAAATAATGTCCAAACATGAACAAAGAAACAAGTTGCAGTACCAGGCTATGAAAACAAAACATGTGCAATAACCGACATTGGTTCCGATTTATCGGGATGTAGAAACGTGCAAGATCAGATATTAGTTCTTATCACACACACGCACGCGCGCGCGTGATATGTCAACACGTTAACATATCACCTTCTGTAAACCTGATGCGTCTCAATAACTCCAAAAAATCATTGCGCATTATTATCATCTTTTATTAGCTGCGACCGTGGGAATTTTCCTCGTTTCAACTTCTAGAACTACCTTATTTTACTATTATTTCTAACAATATGGCGACCATCTTTTCTATTAAATAGCCATTGTGGGTAGACATTATGATAACATGGTTAACCGTCACTTAAATGTTTTTACTTATTTTGCACAATGGTCCATTTACCCTACAAGCAGTTCTTAAACTAAAACTACAGCATGAGCAAAGTCACTGAAAGTAAGCCCAATTTATTTAAGTCAAACAACAGATCGGAAACTAATCCAAAATACTATACATTAGAACATGATGAAATTATGCAGATAAATTCCCATTAGACTATTATAATAGAGACCGTCTCTTTTACATTAATGTTATCACGAAGCATGAATCTTGCATTCAAGCCCGAGGAAAATGTACGGTCTGAATCTCATCCTGTAGGAGTAAATTAACTCAACTTTATTACGAAAAAATGTTAGTTGATGCTAGTACTTCACTTAGCAGGCGTCCCTTTTGACAAATATTCAACAAATTTAATATTATTTCTTCCGCAATATCTAATACTGCATCTATGGTTAATGGTCATTTTCAGTGGAAATATTGTAAAGAGTCTCATCGAAACCAATTTATATGGCTTTACCTTGACTGCACCAGTTGACCAGACACAATTAAATTGTGCCAGCACATAAAATTTTCCAGTAGACATCTGAACGATAACGTTGTCTATCATA